GTTTCTATTCTATTCTATTCTATTCTATTCTATTCTATTCTAATTTCTCAGAGGTTAACAACCACACTGTCAAGTGTGGTTGCCTCCCCACCTACTCCTGTACAGGGTTAAGTACCTACTGATTTCTGACTGGGGTTTGGGTTTTTTTTAAGATCAAATGTATTTTATCTGAGAGGTCAGAGTGTGGCAATACAGCTACAGCCTGGGCATTCCCAGCAGGTGGAAGGTAACATCAACACATTTTGTCTACAGAGCCAAGCATGAAGAAAAACTACAATTAGCTTTTGCTGCTTTTCTGCAGAATCTGCATTTGCATTTTAAATTACATTTTGGTGTATTCATTTTCATCTTTCTTTTGGCTTTTAAAGCTTGAACAGAGACTCCTGACAAAAACACTGCCTAAGATTGGCATTTATTAGGGGGAAAAAAACACATCCACATGATTTTTTTTCTAAAATCTTCCTTTGAGATTAGTTATTTCAGAAAGTCACGTTGACAGGCAGATGGAGAGAGAGATGCAAGATGGTTTCAGAGATTCTAGGAATCTCAACGCCTGGATTTTCATTTTAACATTTCAATTTCTTACTAGTCAGTAAGTTTCTCTGGCTGACTATATTAAAATGTGTACTACTGTAATATATATTAAACTTGCTCTCCTGGTACATGCTGACAATTACACAGTTTATCACACCAATAAGTTTTTTGAAACAGAATCAAAATTTTTTGTCTCTTAAATCCTTGTAGAGATGCTCTTTCTACAAATATGTTAGGCTCTCTCTGTTATCTCTCCTCTTGAGTAGCCTAAATATTATCGATTGGTGATAGCCTTCTCCCTAAGTGGTCACTGGGTGTTAAAATATAAAGTGAAATAAAAATTCACATAAATCAGATTGTGAGTTTATTCTTCCTTCTGTGAAAGGGGCCAGTGACTCCGATATTAAATGATTAACACACTTGACATTCTCTTGGAATCTTAATCCCATGACTTTATGGATGGCTAAACCCCAAAACACCGTACTTTTAATTTTGTTATTAAAGGACAGATGTTAAAAGAAAAAAACTAAAGATTGAGTCATGTAACAAAGGAGAATAGAAAAATAGTGCAACCAAACTGTCAGTCTTCTAAAGGAGATATTAACATTAAAATGTACTGTTATGATTGACTCAAGTGGACTTAAAGTTTGATACTGTTGGATATTTCTAATTCTCAACATCTTATTGGTATACCTTATTAGTACATGTCTGAGCAGATACTAGTCAATATTTCTCCAGCTCTCAATGGTTTTTTGCAATAGTTTCTTGTGGTGCAATAATAATAAAACTTGTTTAGGATTGAAGCACTTTTACATGCATGCATTTAAAAATATTGAATATAAATAGCACTGAATATAATTAGCATTTGTAAAAAACACAGATAAGACCCTTGTCTCAAAAAGTTTACTTTCCATTTGCCAAAAGGTTGGTAGGAAATAAATGAACAAAATCATTTCAGGGAATTATAAGTGCTATGAAAAATAAAGTACAATGAGGAAGTAGAACGACTTGGGGATGGTGAAGCTAATTCAGACTGAGTGATCAGAAAGGTCCATTGATATTGTAACACTTCAGCTCTATGACAAGGACACAAGTATGAAAAGGTCTGGGGTCAGAATTTGGGTAGAGACTGTGACATGTGTCAAGGTGTTGGCACAGGAACAAGCTTGGCATGTTCAGAGAAGCCACAGCAGCTCAGGGGCAGCAAGCAAAAGGGAAAATAGAAGGGGATGAACTCCAAGATAGGGGAAAGAATTACACTTTTATGGCATGAGAGGCTATGGGGCTATCCATTTCCGTGACATATATCCAAACTTAGTGACTTAAAACAAACATCTTCTTTTGCTCACAATTTAGAGTTCAGCGATATGGGAAAGTTCGTCTGGACATTTATCTCTGATGCAGGTAGTATTACTGGGGCAGCTGAAGCTGCAAAACTAGGTGATTTCATTCAATGTCTGTTCCCTTGGTGCTCTTTCTTCACATGGCATCTCCTATTCTAGGCATTTTCTACATGGCGTGCTCTTCTCACAAGTTGGTATCATGGCCGTCTTGTGGCTGTCTCTAACTACCGTTAGACTTATGTGACAACTGGTTTCCCCTAGAGCAGGCCTTGACCCAAGCTCCAAGCATTCTTATGACCTCTCCTAGAAGTCTCAGAACATCACTCCTGCCACTTTGTCCTTTTTGGTTAATCATACAAGGCATTAAGGCCAGCCCAGATTCAAAGGGAAGAAAGTCAGACATTTCTCTTTTCTATGCGAATGTCAAAGAATGTATGGCCATCTTGAAGCTGCCTCAGACGCCATGGTAGGTAATCTGCATTTTATTCTAAGTGTTATGGGAAGTGGCTGGAGACTTTTCAACATGGAAATTACATGATTTTATTTTTGTTTTTAAAAGTCCATTTTGGCTGCTAGATAGAGAATAAATTGAATGAGGACAAGAGAAGAAGCAGGGTAACCAGTTAGAGGTGATTATAGTTTTGTGGATGGCCTACAATGGAATCATAGCAGTGGAGAAGGAGAAAGTAAATATGGGCTACATCTTAATGGACCTGTAGTTGGTTAGGTTTGGGGGAGAAGAAAAAAACCAGGATGACTCCAAAGGTTTTAATGAGGACTTGGAAGGATTGTGGTACTATTTACTGAGACAGGAAAAAAGGGGTAAAGTTATTTACATGTCTCATATAATTGTCCCAGCAGCTCTCTAACGAGGAGGTTCAGTTAGTTATGTGGTAGGCCTTATTATCCTCAATCTTTCCTCAGGTGAGAACAGTGGGGTTCTTAAAGAACAGAAGGAAAAGAGGGAAGGGAGAGGGAAGGAGAGGGGCAGGAGCGGGAGAGGGAATAAAGAAAGTCTTTCCTAAAACACTTAACTAGATAATGGGAGTACTGGTCTATAATAAGTTCTGTTATCTAGCCAACACATCTTCCCATTATACAACATAGTTAACTGCCAATCATTAGTATAACAAGCTGAGTTTTAAATCATCTATTCTTATTATAAACCTACTCAAAGAATGTTTCCCTCTGGGTAAAATAGGAACAATGAAGATGAACACAAGGTAAAGATATGTTCTTAGTCATTACAGAACTTAAACAGTAGAATGACTAAACCTTTTCAAGGTTCCCAACATTTAGATCTAATTGATTTGGGTTTTATGTCTGATAAACATCACCTTCTAAAGATGAAATTTTAAATTGAGAAAAGTGAACAGAGGGGGTTGGAAGTTCTAGTTCTTATTTTTTCTGCCTTTGGCTTAATTAAGTTTATCAAATTTTCTTAAACTCTGTGCTTTAATTTTTCTCATCAAAACATTACTTTTATTAACCATATTCTCAATTCCTTCAATTGTCTGTGAGTCAGCCCTCATAAGGACAGTTGCACTTGTCTCCCACCCATTCTCATGCCTGTTGTCACTCCTTTCACACCCATTAACTCATCTTACGTATATAATAAGGAAAATGCTGGGGAGAAAGTTTTTATAGACCTCAAGAAAACAACTTATCATTGTTATGACAAATTCTTCAAAAACATTAATTTTAAATTTTAATTTTATTCCAATATTAGCTTATTACTAAATCTTTTTAAATCCAAGATAACCCAGTATAACTCTTTGACTGTAGGTAGAGTCCTTTTACCACCACTGTTGTGAACCACATTATTCAGTATGCAGCACTTTGAATTTTGCCAAAGTAATCATGATGTATGAAAACTCGCAACATGGTAAAAACAACAAATATTCTATGAAAATCTTAGTCACCAAGACTGTCCGGGACCTTTATTGCAATAACATAAGTAGTAGTCAAATTTTCATAACCACTGATAATTATTTTTATCTCTCATATACTTGCTTGATATTGAATTGTTTGCCACTGGGGGTGCTTTCCATCTGGTGAGGGCCTGAGACGTTGTGCTAATCACACACACACACACACACACACACACACACACCCCTACATCTAAACACCTTTCTTCCACTTTTAGCAATGCCCCTGTACCCGTGTGTTAATATTGATTGGGCCTGTTTCCATTCCGGGGGAGTATGGAAGTCAAGGAGTGTTACTGAATAATCATTTGGTAATGTATTTCAAATTGTATTTTCCTCAGCAGAAATAAGTCAGAACTGATGGTTACCTTTTTACCAGTAGTCTTCTATTGGATCTCAAATTTGTGCTATATGTAGATAAGGATGAAGGTAGCTCTAAACAGAGAAAACCAAACCATTTCTCTCCTACTTGTTTTGGGAACTAATTTAACTAACTTGGAAATGCTTAAAGGCAGGTCTGCTGAATGTCTAAATACACTTTCTAAAACTACAAGGTTTAATTACAGTTTCTGAGAAATTATAGCAAAAGATCTTTGGATTTCAGTGTAACCAAAATTTCATCAGACATTCCACCATTGTCATTATTCTCAAAATTCAAATGAAATAACCAATGTTGTAAAATGTAAAATTCCAAATGTATTTTCTCTCCCCTCAAAACCCATCTTTCTCTTTCAGACATCACAAATTCTTTTAAAGACATGACCATTCTCATTTCCTGCCAGGTTTGGACCCTCAATTCCTTCACTTGAATGTGAGTCAGCCTCACGAGGACAGTTACATTTGCCCCCCGCCCATTCTCATGCCTATGACCACTCCTTTCTCACCCGTTAACTCATCTCACACAGCCTCTCTGCATAGTACAATTCTGAAATAAAATTTGATTGTGTTACAGTATCTAAATATTCTTTCAGTTTTTACTTATTAATTATCAAACAGTTAAAAGTCCCTAATCTGGCTTTCCAGACCAGGGCCACCTCTGGGGTATATGCAGTCCTGGGTGGCAAATCTTTTTATGCAGAGTCCCTGTCTATACAATTATTTTGATCAAAAATGTATTCAGAATCCGCAGTCCCATGTGAGGTAGAGAAATGTATTGATGGAGATTTAAAACAATGGGCAGAGGAGAGGGACTTACATATTTGTTTATCACTGATGTGGGGCAGGTGAAGATTCTTCATAGGGTCCTGGCACCATCTCTTCCGGTTCAGGTCTGAAAAACATCTTGTCATGTTCGTTTAATGGTGACAGCTCCTCATTTTGTGCTAGCAGAGTTAATTCTCCACTTCTTATTTTTACTTTTGACATTCCAGAAATTGCTGCCAGTTTCTGACCTAATTAGAGTTCAAAAATACTCAGTTTTTCTTATTTTTTCCACTGACAGAAGAAAGTAGCAACGCTGTTATGACTCACAATACCAAGGCTCTTTGGAGTCTGTATTGATACAATTTAATTCTTCCTGCCTCTGCAGTTTCCTAAATGTATTATTTATAAAATGATGATTACAACATCACTTACAATGCTTCCTCAACCATCAAGCCACCTATGAACACTTGTTCCCAATGAGTCTTCCCAAGGTTGTTAATGTGCCTCATGATGATGACCACAATGCAAGTCTTACCCAGAATTTGCAGGAAAATGTTAATAACAATTTATTTTCTGGCCATGTTAAATTTACTGTTCAGGCTTTTATTGCATAAATGTGCATAATACATCTTTTATCCATAGCTCTTCTTAAATTATTGATATCAGTCCATTCCTGGCATGTGCTGTTTTTCAGTGTTGACCCTATCCCTGTCTCCCATACACCACTACTATGGGGAAAACAGGAGAGGGGCCTATAGAAAAAAATAAAAAATAAAACAAAACTGTGCTATTTATGTAAGAAATATCCATCCCTCATTCAGCATGGTGTATGACCAGCTGAAAGAACATTACGTTACTGCATCAATTGGAGGCAAGAGAGGCCATGATTCAGAAGGGCTCAACAGCCTTTACTAAGGCATACATTCTGATAAATGCAACTTTAGATCTCAGTCCTGCATTTAGGATGAATTCATCCCTGAATAAAACACCTTGGTGAATGCACGTGGAGTATTTAAACAAACATAAAAGAGGGGGATGGAATTCAATCCTTCATTCTTAATTGTATAAGTTCCTCAAAAGCCATCTAGTGTTGTCTTTTCAAAGACACATCTACTAATACGTTGTAGTAATGAATTGTAGTAAAACCATTTTTTAATCTATCTGGATTGCTTATAATCTGACTCCCGTACCCTTGTTTTTCCCATGACTACACTGATCTTCACTTGAATGAAAACCAAACAGTGATCTGGTTTCACCTTCTGGATTAACTGACTCATTAATGATTATGACAGCAGCTGCTGATGTTCTGGGTCAGGCTGACCTGTTTAACTATGTGTAAATCTATTACGATGTTATTATCTTTCAGGATAGCATGGAACATGGTTTCAAAAGGTGTCTGGAAAAATGTCAGATGGAGTCTGAGTTTTCAAGGAAGCTGGTTGTTTTCCCTCAGTTTCTAACACCCATTCTGAACTATGAGAGCAGGAATACTGTATATTTAAATGCATCTGTTGTACAACTGCTGAGTTCAGAGTACTCTAGCAAGGGGTGGGTAATCACACAGATGGTGTGCTTCACGACCAAAACCGCTTGCTGTAGATGCCACATTCAGAGAGAACATGTAAATACTTGGCACAGTTGTGAGAGTTTTCAGAGGTGTTATATTCATTTAGAGAGTTACAGCTTTGATGGTGACAGCTTCTCATTTTGGGCTAGCAGGATTAATTCTTCCTTTCTTATTTTTACTCTTGACATTCCAGAAATTGCCACAATTTCCTGATCTAACTTGAGTTCAAAGAGTTGTGTTTTTCTTATTTCCCCCTTATTTAAAGAGGATTACTGTATCAACAAGAATGGTGACGCAGAAGGACTGGGTGACCAGGAGTATACTGGCCACATGCCACAGTGGAGTTTTCAGGCCTACATTGTGTGCCTTCCCACATTCCAATAAATACCACCAACAGCCAATGGTATTGTTTTTTATTGCCTTTTACCCCAAACTTACTATAAAAAAGGAGCATTAAGTTTTTAAATGTCTGTTTCCTCTGAGCATTCACTTGCCCACCCACCTATTTATTGAATAGAGTAACAATTGAAAGCTTGCTCAGTATAAAATATAATTGGTCTCCAGATCTTTCTCCAGGATCTGAACTTTCAAGCAAAAGCTGTGTCAAAGCAAAAAAGCTGGGGAAGGGGCATGATTGAGAAAGTCTAGAAGAGACAAGGGATGACGTATACCTGAAGGAGGGGAGAAGATAAAGGACAGCACAAAGTGCCACTGGAGTCCAAGAGAAGTGACTGACAATCGAGATATGGTGTGGCAAAATATAGGTCAGGTTCAGGACACTATTCTCAGAAAGTTCATTTCTGAGCATGCAATTTATGTGGCTTATGGTCTTTCCTACAGATATGGGTGTGGCTGCCTAAAGGAGCAACACAGGGTTGGACACCAGACAAAGATTAAAATGACGCAGTAGCCCTCCTAGATAAACCCAGAGTCTAGGCAAGAATATATACCAATAAACACATATCATCAAATACTACCAAATAAGAAAATAAAGAGAATTAGAAACAATAGTGTAATCGAAATGTAGAGGAGTGAGTTAATAATTCATTGAGTTGATAACTTCAGGTTTTATGAAGGAAATCACATTTATATTGGGTCTTATGGGATGAGATGTATGTCAGTCCAAGGAAAGAGGAGGAAGAGAAAAGAGCACAAAGTTTCCAATGTTCATTCCTCTTAATTCTACAGCACATAGAATAGTGGCTGGCACCAACAACATTTATTGAATGAATGAAGATGATGGTTTGATGAAACTTAGCAACAGAAGGCTCAAACTTCAAGAACAAACTTGAAGTTTGCAACATCATACCACAGACTGCATTCAAATGAAAAAAAAATTGTAGACAGACAGTACATAGGCCAAGTGTGGTGGCTCACACCTATAATCACAGCACTTTGGAAGGCCAAGGCAGGAGGATCACTTGAGCCCAGGAGTTTAAGACTAGCTTGAGCAACATGGCGAGACCCTGTCTCTACTAAAAATACAAAAATTAGCCAGGTGTGGTGGTGGGTGCATGTAGTCTTAGCTACTTGGGAGACTTAGGTGGAATAATGGCTTGAGTTCAGGAGGTCAAGGCTTTGGTGAGCTGTGTTCACAGCACTGTGCTCCAGACTGAGTGACAAAGCAAGAACTTGTTGAAAGAAAGAAAAAAGGAGGGAAGGAGAGAAGAGGAAGGGAGGGAGGGAGGATCAGTCCATTTTCATGCTGCTGGTGAAGACATGTCCAAGATTGGGCAATTTACAAAAGAAAGAGGTTTAGTTGGACTTACAGTTCCATGTAGCTGGGGAAGCCTCACAATCATGGCAGAAGGCAAGGAGGAGCAAAGGCATGTCTTAAATGGATGGCAGCAGGCAAAAAGAGAGATAACTTGTGCAGGGGAACTCTTTAAAATAATCAGATCTCATGAAACTCATTCACTATCACAAGAACAGTGCAGGAAAGACCCACCCCCATAATGCAATCACCTCCCACCGGGTTCCTCCCATGACTGTGAGGATTATAGGAGTTACAATTCAAGATGAGATTTGGGTGGGGACACAGCCAAAGCATATCAGAAGGGAAGGAGGGAGGAAGGGAGGAAAAAGAAAGGAAGGCAGGCAAGCAGGCACAGTACACAATTAATGAACAAAAAACAACATGGGAAAAAAACTAAAAAGAAATGAGCTTAGCCAAAGGAAAAACTAGGTTAGGGAAATAGTATAAGTCAGAAAAGAAACTTGCATTAAAAATAAAATTAGTTTGATTTTTTTAGTATGATTTTAAATTTTTTCATTTATATATTTTCTATAGAAAAGTTAGAAAAACAAAGCAGAACAAAAAAACACACTAATTCCAACAGCTAGTGTCAATTACTCAGACACAACCACTACTACTTTTGTTCTTAAGACATTTATGATATTTAAAAGAAAAATAGGCTAATATTTGTCTGTAATGTACTTTTCTCTCCTTAGTAGTATATTGTGAAGAAAGATTACTAAGAAAGTGAAAGGAATTAGAAACAATTCTCATTTGATTTAGTACAATTTTCTGAATTATCTAAGATGATGGGAAATTTCTAGAAGTAAGTAATTTCTAGTTAACTTTTCCTGAAATATTTTTAAAGACACATTCGTTATTCAACTAACAGTGACTTAAATCAATAATAATAATTATTATAAAAGTAGTAAACTCTTAAAATGAGAAGGCTAGAGGGTGGCAGCAGCACCCATGTAGTAGCTCCCTGGAGTCATCAGAGGCCCAGGCTCTTTTTCTTTGTCCTCATTCTCCATCTATAACATGTTGGCTTGTTCCCTCAAGGCCCCAGGATGTCTGTCCCAATTCATCTTCATGTTTAAACTTGTGGCAACAAAATATAAGGGAAGTGTGACATTAACTTTTCTGTTCCTTTGATCAGACAAGCGAAAGGCTTCCCAAGAGTCCCTCCTGACTCTACCCAGCAGGTAAACCTACTTCTAATTGTTCAGAACTAGGTCACATGACCACTTTCAACTGCAAAAGAGGCAGGGAAATTGAGAACACAATTATCAAGACTTACTGTTATCAACTATGAGCCATTGCTGAACCTGTAGTGTCACCAAACAAAAATTGGGTTCTGTTAACAAGGAAGGAGAGGAAAATGGACATTAGATAACCCACTTGCCTGACAGACATAGTAATAAGAACTATGGCAGTTACTGAAACCCACCTAACAACCTCACAAGTATATGTCAAATACCTCCTATTCTGGAGGGAAGGCTCCTGCTCCACCTCCTCTAGAAATAATTTGCCTAATTACCAAAATGCACACAGCTCTTCTTGCTCCCTGACACCTTATTTCACTGACCTCACAGACGTGGACAGGCAGTAATGCACAAGCTTCACTCTCAGTTGTACCATCAATATTTATGGTCCCGTATTTTTCTTCGGGCTTCTTCTATCCTTCACAGCAGGCAGCCTGTGGGCCAAATATGGTCTGGTACTAATTTTTTGTGAAGTTTTATCATAATAGACATACTAATTCATTTAGATAATCTTTGCAGCTGCTTCATACTTGTTGGGACAGAGACCATGTGACCTCCAAAGTCAAAAGTATTTTGGGTCTGGCCCTTTAGAGAGAAAAGTTTGTCAACTATCTACATGTACTTCAATTTTCTGATGGTAAGGTCCCACCCTGCATTTCTCTCGTATTTACATGAGCATATCCCT